TTGTTAACCTGTCTTTCCCTGACTAGTGGTAAGATCTATTCTGAAGCTTCTTAGGGGCAAGGTTTTTCACTGAAGGCTGAGCATTTAGGCCCTATACAGTAAATGCTGGGCAATCCTGGTTACTGTGTGACCCAACCCAGGCCTTCCTCAGATTAAAGCAGGTGGAATTGATTTGGCAAACCTTTTGTGCTCTGCATAAACAAAAGGTGATAGTGTTATAGTAACATTACGAATTATTTTCCAGGGTTGAATTTATGTGATTAAATGAACTTCCAGGTGTTTAGGTGCACCAGTCTCCCTTTTAGCCTTTTTGTGTCCTAGTAACACTTCCCTAAGCCAACAGGAAGGGGTTAAGAGAAGAGGTGAGGTACACCCTAGTAGCTTTTCTTGCTTAATTAGCATCTCCTAAAAAAAGTCTTTGGCTGCTGGCATCTTCTCTGTAATTCTTTTTTTTTTTATTTTTTGAGTTGGAGTTTCACTCTGTCGCCCAGGCTAGAATGCAGTGGCATGCTCAGGGGCACTGCAGCCTTGACCTACTGGGCTCAGGTGATTCTTCCGCCTCAGCCTTCCAAGTAGCTGGGACTATAGGTGTGTGTCACCATGCTTGGCTAATTTTTTGATTTATTGTAGAAATGAGGTCTTGCTAAGTTGCCCAGGCTGTTCTCGAACCCGTGGGCTCAGGCAATCCTCTCACCTCGGCCTCCCAAAGTGCTGAGATTATGGGCGTGAGTCACCACGCCTGGCCATTCTCTGTAATCCTTTAAGCTCCTTCCAGTACCCGCTGTAACCTGCTTGCTTTTCTGGTTGTATGTTTAGTTCCATATAGTTGTGCTCCATGCTCACAGTCAAGGCTTACTACAACCTCATTAATGCCCAGAGGAATCAAAAGGATGAAACCAGTGACTGAAAGTGGAGTGAAGGCGTTTTCCCAGATTCTTCCTCTTGCCTCTCAGTGTGGGAATGTGCATTGCATTGTGGCAAATCTTCGCTGATGACATCGTGGCGGGAGTGATAAACTGCACTGTATGTTAAACAGATTTGGAGGGAGGATATTGAACCAGCTGGACTGGATTGTGTTGTATACCTTAGGCTTCAGAGGGACTGAGTGTCCTGGACTAGCCATGAATAGAAGGGTTTGGATCTCTTTGTTAGTTACTATCTTGTAAGTGCCGACTGTCTTCTGGGTGACATTTAGAATCTATAAAAGACATGGCCTCCTCCGTGAGAAGCTTCTGTGTTGTGGCAGGGAAACATCCCCTGAGGGGAGGATCTGCCTACTAGGAAATCAACCTAGACCCCAAAATCCTGGACTTCCATTCGGCTAAGCAATAGGATATTTGGGTACTGAGCAGTGACCTCTCTACACCTTCACAAGCAAAGTAGGGAATTTAATCTCAGAAGTCTTTATGGGTTTTGACATTGGGACAAAATTGGTCTGGCTTTCCTGTGGCTCCCTGGAGAAAGAAACTTTCTATGCTTTGTGCTAGAATTGGAGACAGAAACTGGGATCTTTTCCAGTTCTGCCTGTTGTTTTGGGCAAGTCACTTGTCCTCTCTGAACTTCAAAATAGGAGAACTCCACCTGTTCTTAGTGCCTCGGTAAACTGCGGGATCCAAGAAAATATAACGGAAGGGAAAGTGCTTCCAAAACAGAATGGTCAAGCACAGTGCAGATGGGGTTTTTTTGTCTGTTTGTCTAGGAACTGTTGGTTTCATTATAAACCTAATGTGTATGCTTTGCATAACAGACCAACCATACAGAAAAGTATGTAAAGTAAAAAAGTAAAAGATTTCTTCTTTCTTCTCCCCCAGCTCCTGTCTATTCCCTTCTCCCAAAGATAGGGAACCACTGTTCACCATTTTTACATCTCCTTCTAATCTTTTTTGTACTTTTGGACAGTCCTCAACATGTTTCAACTTTAAGAAAAACCTGGACTCAATTCTAACCCAGACTGTTCTTCAGCTTGCTATGTTTCCTTAACAAGTTACTCAGGAATAGAACAGTTCCTGGTGGGGCCTTTGAGGATCCTGGTTATAGCCCTTCCCAGCTTAGTGGTTCTTAGTGGGTTTGCTGGCTCCCTGGGACAGGTGGGGTTAAACAGGAGAGAGGGATTGGCTGGCTTGATGGCTGGCTTGATGGCGGGAGTGTCCTTGAGTGGGGAGTCAGGATGGATGTAGGAGCAATGTAGGCATCGGCCCTCCCATCTCACATGGGCTTCTCGCCCTCACTCCTGTCATCTTTGGTTGGGAAAAGAGAACAATTATCTGATTTCTCAACTTCTGTTTTAGTGCAGTGAGAGTCCTTGATTTCTGAAATCTTAAATTAGCCAAGTCACTTGCTGCTCTTTTGTTTTGTGTTGTTTTAAATATGTGCAGTACAATTTAGGGTTAGGTATACAAATGTTCATTATGCAGGTTGATGAATTGTACCCCCCTCCCCTGGCAGATTCCCACTATTGCCAATCCTTTTCTTTTTTTCTTTTTTTTTGAGTTGGAGTCTCACTCTGTCGCCCAGACTGGAGTGCAGTGGCCACTCCCGGCCACCGCAGCCTCAATGTACTGGGCTCCGGTGATCCTTCCGCCTCAGCCTTCCAAGTAGCTGGAACTACAGGCACGAGCTACCACGCCTGGCTAATTTTTTGATTTATTGTAGAGATGAGGTCTCGCCAAGTTGCTCAGGTGGGTCACAAACCCGCGATCTCAGGCAATCCACTCACCTCGGCCTCCCAAAGTGCTGGGATTACAGGCTGAGCCACTGAGCCCGGCTCAATTCTTTTCTTATAGTATTATTATAATTGTTCAAGGTCCGCTTATGAGTGAGAGCATGTGATACTCAGTTCTTTGTTTCGGTGACATCATGCAGTATTATAGACTCTAAGTCCATCCAGGTTACTGTGAAGTTCATGATTTTGTCCCTCTTTATGACTGCGTAATATTCCATTGTGTATATGTACCACTTTTTTTTTTTATCCAGTTCTCTTTTGATGGGCAGCATGGTTGGTTCCATGTTCTTGCTATTGTGAACAATGCTGCGATAAGCATACATGTGCAGGTATCTTTTTCACAGAGTGATTTGAGTTCTTCCAGGTGTATTCCCAGCAGGGGATTGTGGGGTCGTATGGAAGGTCAGTTTTTAGATCTTTTATGAATCGCCACACTGTTTTCGACAGAGGCTGTACTAGTTTACACTCCCACCAGCAGTGTAGAAGTGTTCCCTTTTCGCCGCATCCTCTACAGCATCTGTTGTTTTTTGAGTTGTTGTTGATGGCCATCCTGACTGGATGCTTTACCTTTTTAAAAGCAAACCAGACCTATGTGGTGCTTTTGAGTTTTCTTGTGGGTGAGGATTGTGAAGGTCACTGTCAGTGGCTGTGCTTTCTTACCAGTCTAGGGAAGGGTAAAGGCCTATTGGGAGAGTTGTCTTTCTCTTCTAGACAGTTGTCTCATCTCCACGGTCAGGCCCTGGCATTTTGAGCTCTTGGGCTGTAGTCAGAGGAATATGGGGAGCCCAGTGAGGAGGCAGTCAGGAGGCCTATTGGAGGTTTTTTTTTTCCTGTCCCCGTGAATCTTGTCTCTCTGTTTGGGAGAAGGTCAGACCCACATGTGGGGCCAGGTGGTGGCTGTTCTTTCTTTTTGCCCCAAGCTGTCACAGAGCCTCAGGGCTTCCTAGAACAGGAGAGAAAACCCCTCTCCATTTTTTTCCTGCTAACATCTTGTTCTCTGTTTAGCATCAGCCGTGTTTGCAGATTTGTGTGTTGGAGTCCTGTCCTGCTGCCCCAGGGAACTTCACTGCTGTGGCCTCATTTGCCTTGTGATCTCTGAGCTGTGTACTTCTCTCCAGGGGGTTCTGGAGCCTTCAGGAAAGAGTTGTTTCTGTTGTTCCCTGCCTTGCTATGATGGGAAAACTAGCCTTCTTGAGTACCACATATTGTGAGAGGATGGAACAGTTCCCTGCTGGAGTCTGGGGGCCTGAATGCAGTCTTCATCCTCGCTCTGCGGGTTCCTCTTGGGCCGGTTCCCTGGGAAGTGCCATCCCCTGACCTTTTCAGAAACTGTAAGGTGGCAGTGTGCCGCCCCCACCCTTGACTAGCTCAGCTCTCAGCCAGGCCACATACTGCCCCACTGTGCTGTGCTTTCCGATGTAGCCCTTGTGGCCGCCTCTGATCCCTGGGTTGGTTCTCTCCCAGCCCCTTTCTCTGGAGCCTGTGGGAGATGGTGGGATGGACTCTGCTGGCACAGGCATGGGTTGGGTGGCAGCTGCAGCTGTGGGTGGCTTTGTTCTTACAACCCAGCTTTCAGAGCCCTGGTGCTGCCTGGCAGCAGTGTTAGGGGAATAAGCGAGGTAGGGGAGCTGTGCCCCCTTCCACGGCAGATGTCTTTTCTTTCTGTTGACCAGCCAGGGAGTCTGGTGGCCTGGGGTCAGCTGACTGGCCTCACTGGTTGGCAGGGGAGCACCCCACTTCCACTTAACATGCTTTCTGGATGGGAGAAAGCCTTTGAGGCTCTAGTGGTAAGTGTGGAGGCACTTCCCGTGAGGAGGTGCAGTGTGTACCCTTGTGGCCGCCTCTGATCCCTGGGTTGGTTCTCTCCCAGCCCCTTTCTCTGGAGCCTGTGGGAGATGGTGGGATGGACTCTGCTGGCACAGGCATGGGTTGGGTGGCAGCTGCAGCTGTGGGTGGCTTTGTTCTTACAACCCAGCTTTCAGAGCCCTGGTGCTGCCTGGCAGCAGTGTTAGGGGAATAAGCGAGGTAGGGGAGCTGTGCCCCCTTCCACGGCAGATGTCTTTTCTTTCTGTTGACCAGCCAGGGAGTCTGGTGGCCTGGGGTCAGCTGACTGGCCTCACTGGTTGGCAGGGGAGCACCCCACTTCCACTTAACATGCTTTCTGGATGGGAGAAAGCCTTTGAGGCTCTAGTGGTAAGTGTGGAGGCACTTCCCGTGAGGAGGTGCAGTGTGTACCCTTGGCATCCTGCAGCTTGGCATTCCTCTGCTCTCTTTGCAGCTCCGGAGTTGGGCTGCTCATCCACCAAGCTGTCTGTATGGAGTGCCTGGAGGGCGCCTGCCATGAGTCTGTCACTAACCGCACTAACCAGGAGAGCTGGCTGGTTGGGAGAAGACACTAACCCTGTGAGTCTGACCTCGGCCAGCTAACCTGCCCTGGGACACCACCAGCACTGCCCTCCAGCCTGGCTGCTTCCTCTCCTTAGCTCACATGGTGCTGTCTCCTCTGCTCTCCTGTCCTTACTGCTGGGTCCCCTCCATTTTCCCAGTCTCCTTGCTGTTGGTGGGGGTGTGCTCTCTTCATGGCCAGAAAGGAAAGTTCCGATGAATGGCCACCTGCCCATTAGCAGCCTGCTGCTGGACTTCACACCCCATTACCCTCCCCACAGTCAGCACCACGCTCTTCGGTTCTCTGGCTGGAGTTTCTGTTTCATCTGTGCTTTTAGCACCATGAAGTTTGAGATGATCCCTGTTGCCGCACTGCTTCTGCTTCTCACGTCTCAGAGATGGGTGGAACTGGAGGAACTGGAGTGGGAAGGGAAGGGGATTGCTTCTAGACTAGATGGTTTCATTTCTTTGTAAGGAGGGCAAGGCTGGATAGAGTCCCCATTACTCTCACCCCAGGATCAGAAGTTAGGATCAGTTGCAAGGTTTTCTTGGGATTGGAGAAGGTGAGGACAACCTTGGCCTGGCTCTGGGGAATTCCCTGGGTGGAAGAGTGAGGATACTTGAACTAAATGCTGGAGCCCAGAATCAGGTACCCATGTGAGATGTAGCTCTTATTGGTGACCATTACTCTGGCAGGTGGAGTGGGTGGAGTTTGGCCCGCACTTCCTTCCATGTCTGGAACTTCAGGTGGACTTTAGTCAAGAAGAGCTGAGAAGGCCGCCTCAGCCAGAGAGGGGCTTTGGGTTCCACACTGGGTCTGAAAAAGGTCCTGGCCTCAGACTGAGAGACTGGTGAGTACAGCCTGGCATGGAGAAGCTCCCGCCCAACTCCCTTCTCCCTCCAGGCTTAGGAAGAAGGGGGTCTGGAGAAAACAAGGAGATCAACTGCCAGGTGCTTCCTGGTGTCCCGCCCAGGTAACCTAGATGACTGTGTGTGCAGTCTTCGGAGATAGTGCAGCATTTGGTAGGCTGGATAGGGGAACTTGAGACCTGAAGGCCCCCTGAGTGGATTCTGTCCTCATTGGGCTGGGAGGAAGACTACAGGGACCTGACTAACAGTGTATGCTAGCTGTGTGTAAATGTGGTGGTGTAGGTGCTGCAGGCATGTTTAGGGACCCTGTTTAGGGAGTGAGGAAGCTGGGGGTGGGGGCTGGTGTTGGCTTGGTTCTGACCAGGAAAGCAAAAGGGACCTGGAGCTGAGGCCTGGTTTAGGGCCACTCCCTCACTCAGGAGAGGGTGTGGGGTCTCATGTCATATGCAGGCTATGAACGTTGGGGCCCTCCCTTTTGGGGGCAGGAGTTGGTTTGCTTGGCTCAGCGTCAGTAGTCCTTGGCCCCTTTGTCCCTGCCAAGTGTTTGCCTGGATGGGAGGCCAGGTGGAGAGACATGAGGTGTTTGTTCAGGTGGGAAGCCAGGGGCTCTCACAGGTCACCAGCACTGGTTCTGAGTCCTCAGGATTACTCATTCCCACCCTTTTTGGCTTTCAAAACCCTGCCATTCTATTCGGTGTAGAGTAGGCAGGGGGCCAGGTCAGGGCTGCAGGCAGCTTGTCCCAAAAGGGTGAGGTTGTACGTGCCCAGAGGGGTGGTGGGCACAGCTTTAGAGTGGCAACAAGGCTGGTCTGGGCACAGACTGACATCTTTTAGCCTAGTCATCAGCCCAGGGCAGAACCTCTGCCCAGGCCCCACCCCGTGAGTGTTGGCTGCCTGCCTGCCACGCGCCCAGGATTGCTGAGGGCTTTGCTCATGTATCTCAGGAACAGCTGCATGCCGGAAACTGGGGGCTGGTGGCAAGTGGGAGGGGTGCCCGGGGGACAGCGTGGGGGAGGCTGAACCCAGCCTTGGGAGGATCAGTTCACTGTGTTGGGGGACTATTCTGCTATTCACAGGCCACCAAGGTGGAGAGGGGCTGTATCTATAGTGCAGGTGGTGGGAATCTTCGTGGGCAGTCCACAGAGCTACTGCTGGGTCACCTGGTTACAGAGCTGACTTACATTTGGTGGTGGTTTGCATTTCTTGGAGGTCAGTTGAAGGCAGAGACTGGATTTCAGAGGCTGGAGAAGCAGCCAGACTTGTAGGCAGGAGTATAGCTGAATCCCATTGGGGTGTGACCTCCAGGCTTGGAGAGTTCAGAGATTCTACACCCAATGCTTGTAGCTCAGGACATTTCATGCGGGGGAGGCTCCTGCCCTTGTGTGATCAGACATTAGTGTTCTGGTGGTTGATTAGGGTTTCAGAAAGGACCTGTATTTATTTTTATTATTGAGTCCCGCTGGGCTCCAAGGGAATTAAGGCAGCATGCAACACAGCTGGTGTATTCTGAAACAGGCTAGGTTTTCCTTTCATTTGAAAAGCAGTAGTGATTTCTAACTTTCGTTTGACTTTGATGATTTTCGTGGTGATGTGTGGGCTCTCCCTGATTCAGAAGATTGGGTCATAACCCCTCAAGGTCTGTTGCTTGATTCATTGACAGCTGTGGGCAGAAAGGCTTATCAGTAGGTTCAGAAATGATCTGAGCCCAGTAAACTGTTGGGGCCATAATTAAAGGGAGTGTTGGTGATGTGTAGGATGGGGCAGCTGACCCAGGGTCAGTGGAGTTGGAGTGAGGTTGTAGTGCAGAACTTGGGGAGCTGGAGCAGACTTCCAGTGGGGGAGGGCTGAAATTGGGAAAGCCAACGAGCCATATCCATTTTGTATTCAATCCTGTTTCCCTCTCCTGGGCTGGTGTTGTGAGGGTGGCCTTTGAGCCCTCAGCAGGGAGAAAGCTGGGTGCTTGGACTGCCCTTCCTCTCTTGCACCTTTGGCTTTGCCTAGACCTTGGGCAGAGCCCCAGAAAGGACAGAAGAATTAGGAGGGCATCTGTGGCTCTTGGCCTTGGACTTTTCTATTCTTGCCTCCCATGGTGCTTGTGGGAGCAGTAGTAAGGATAGTGTGTTGAAGAGAATTGGACTTCTGAAGAGGTTTCTCTCTCATCCCATCCTGTTTCCAGAAATAGCAGTCTGGAAGCCCCTGGTCAAATACACATACTCACAAAAGGAGCAGGTGTTGGTCCCCTTTCCTGGTTAAAGAGTGATGCGTGGCAAATTTTTCTGTCCTTTGATTAGAGGACACTGTGCAGCCAACTTCTGGTGTAGACTGTACCTTACATCTGTCTCTGTCTACACTCTGCTCAGCTGTTCAGTGGGTTCACAGTGCACCTTTGCTGTGCGTGCTGAGCCCCATTTCTAATGAAAGTAGACTTTGTTCTCTGAAGACAGCTAATCGTGCCCCATGGGCTGTAATCAGGGAGAAGATATTTAATACAGGGCAGGCGGCAACAGGCGGCCTGCACCACCGGGCAGATTGCAACATGGCAATTAGGAAGCTATCACCCCCCACTCTCCGCCCCATGAGACAGGAGGTAGAGTCTCTCCTCTGCAGTGACTTTGAGTAAGTGAAGAATGAATGCTATGTGGAAGAGGAAGGAGGTGGAGTTAAATGGAGTGGGTGGGATGGGGGTGGCAAAGGGTGAAGAGAGCCCCTTTCCCTTCTCCCTTCCCTTTCATGGCATGGGGATGGATTGCTGCTGCTCTGGGGTCTCCCTCAACAGCACCTACAGGTTCAACCCAAGGAGCCCCAGGCTGGGCTGGGTCAGCCAGAGGTTTCCACTTCAGCCGCAGCCTTTCTCCCTGGGCATAGCTGTTCCTGCAGTATAGAGCCAGCACCTGATTGGGCAGTCCCACATCCTGACTCACCCGCCCGCAGTTCCTCAGGTAGCTTGCAGGGGGGGTGGAAGGCTCTTCTCTGTTGATTTTCAGACCTTTCTCCAGCAGCTCATTTTCCTGGAGGTGCTCTGGGACCAGCTTAGCTGCCCAAGACTGAGAGCCCCCAGAGGGGGCTGTCCTCGTTGCTGCTTGCTCATCGTGGCCCATGTCCCACTCGGAGTTGTCTGGCTACTTTCCCTGGGGACCTTTTCTTCCCAGCATGGGATTGAGTGTCTTCCTTGGGCTGGGGATGAAACGCTCCAAGGCAATGTGGGAAAGCTTTGGGTGAAGGAGATGGGGCCAGGGGAGGCTGTCCCTGGTAACTGGATCTCCCTGGATGGCTGCTCTGATGCCTCCAACTCATCCCTTTGACCCTTCCCATGTTGTCCTGATGTCCAACTGCTTCTTGCCTCCTTGTTCACACAGCTTGCATGCTCTCCTCCCTGGGTCTGCTTCTGCCTTCCCTGCCCTGCTGCCAGCCGAGGACTGGCCTGTTGTGCTCCTGTCTAGTGCTGGAATTGTGTGCCCTCACCGGTAGGATCTGAGGCATATGGCAGGTTTCAGGAGTTGGAGGTAGTGCCTGGGTGTGTTCCCGCACAACACTGTCTGGGGCAAGGAGTGGCACAGGTCTCCCTTGAAGCCTGGCGCTAGGGATCTAGGATGGATTGTGTCCCCTGGGGGCATCACCTTCTGCTTCCCTGGTTGGGAGTGGTTTCTCTCCCTGCAACACTGACGTTCATCACCACCCCCAGCTCCAGAGAGTCCGTGTCGGCATTTATCACCCATCTCACTGCCAGCCTCATCCATGCTATCCTGCTCAGCAAGCCAGATTGCTCTGGCCATGGAAGCCCTAGGGATAAATGTGTGCTGTGGGGCCAGGGAGCGGGGACTTCAGAGCTGGGTGAGGCAGGCTGAGTGCTAGGAGGCGTGGCAGCGAGAGCTAGGACTGTGGCCCAGAGTGAGGCAGCTCTCTACACAGCTAGAATGACCAGATGCCAGAGCATGTCTGCGACCTCCCTGCCTACTTTCTGCCCGTATAAGTGCCCTGGTACCTGAAGGACAGTGTGGGCCTTGGCAGGAAAGGGGTAGGAAAGTAGAGAAGAGACTGGGAATAGAGGAGGGGGTACACACAAAGGCACCTGCGCAGAGAAGGGGGTCACTCAGCTGGCAGGGAAAGGGGGACGTGAGCAGGGACCTGGCTTCTCTGTAGAGCTGGGGAGAAGGCAGAGATGACTCCATGTAGCTGCCCCTTGGTTTGTAGATGCTCTTGGCTGCTCGCCTCTCTTACTCTTGTGTTGTTTCTGGCCCTACCCCATTTTCCAGCTCATATGCACCCCATACATATAACCCCTGTGTATCAGAACCCAAGTACCTGGCTGGTTTGGGGCTCTCTGGGCCTCTCCCTCAGGCCATAGGCACTCCTACCCTGGGGCCTCCTGGAGGAACAGCCCCAGGGAACCTGCAAAGGTGACTTGTTTGCTTCCCCACACCCCAGGAATGTGCTGTCCTTTCAGGCCCGCCCGGATTCCTGTGCAGGGAGTCAGCCCGACACAGCATGCTGTTTGTGCCCTGTGGGGACACGTTCTGCCTTCCATCAAAGGGGAGGAAACTGGCGACTCGTGCCTGTGCTGCCACACCCCAGCTCTCCCTAGAACCCCAAGCCAGGGACTAGGCTGCTGAGACAGAGGAGGGAGACCACTCCTTCTTCCCCACCCTCCCTGCCCCTCACCATTCTTTCTGCCCCAGGCTTTGTTGGAATGTGACAGGAGTCATGGCCAGGGCATGTCCCGACAGTAGAAACACATGCTTTAGCCCGCAAGGCTTCCCTCAGCCTCCAGCTCTGTTTAGGTTGGTGGGGGCGGGAAGAGATTGTTTTTTATGCCCAGAAGGCCACCTGAGGTTACTGCCTCAGTGATCATGGTGGCAGCTGCTGCCCCCATGCTGCAGCCCAGCTTATTACAGATGGGGAGGGGTGTGGGCATTCCTGGAACCTAAGGAACAGAGCGGACGTCACAAATTGCTCAGTCCAGCCACCTCTGTGTAGATGAGGAACAGGCTTATCCAGTGAGGAAGGAGTTACTCAGGACCTCCGGTGTCAAGAGCAGCCCAGAACCTGGATCTTCAGCTCCCTAGACTTGGGCATTCTATGCCAGTGTTTCTCAGCCTTGTCATTGTCGACATTTGGTGTTGATAATTTTCTGTGTGTTGTAGGATGACTAACAGTACCCTTGGCCTGTACCCACTACATGCCAGTAGCATCCCAGGTTTTGGCAACCAGAAACATCTCCAGATGTTTGCCAGATATTCCCGGAGGAAGGAGAGTGGACAAAATTGCTCTGGTTGAGAACCATTGCTCTAAGTTACTCCCTTTTCAGATTTTCTCTCCTGAATCTGTCCTTTCTCAGTATAGTCTGTTGACCTCCATTGTCCACAGAAGTAGTCTTTGGGATCCTTCTGGAAACATGGCTAGGAGTTCTCTTTCTAGCATCCTCTCTCCCCATCTTCCTGTGTTTTTTGTTTGTTTGTTTGTTTTGTTTTGTTTGAGTTGGAGTCTCACTCTGTCGCCCAGACTGGAGTGCAGTGGCCGCTCCCGGCCACCGCAGCCTCTACCCGCTGGGCTCCGGCGATCCTTCTGCCTCAGCCTTCCAAGTAGCTGGAATTACAGGCATGCGTTACCATGCCCGGCTGATTTTTTGATTTATTGTAGAGATGAGGTCTCGCTGCCCAGGCGGGTCTCGAACCCGCGGGCTCAGGCAATCCACTCATCTCAGCCTCCCATAAGACGCGGGATTACAGGCTGAGCCACCGAGCCTGGCTTCTTCCTGCATTTTTACTAGGCTTTTTCCTGGTGTTCTCATTTGTAGTCCATGTTCCCCAGAGCTCTTAGTTGTTGCCAGACTTTGAGAGGCCTGAACAGGACGGATGCGGGGCAAGGAGAGGGACAGGACAGAACCAGACCTATTCCAGAGTTGGGCATGTGCTAAACTGAGACCATGAATACAAGCACAGACTTATGTGTGGGTGACAGTGCTGCCATGGAGAGAGATAGGACCCCAGGGCTTCCAGTCATCTCCCTCCTCTACCATGTTTCCCTCAGACCTCCTGGTCCATGGCCTTCCTGCCTGGTTGTCCCTGGGGGGCCTTCCAGGGCCCGGCTGGGCAGGCAGGCCTGTGGCACTGACAGACAGGCGGCTGACACCTGGTTTCCACTTTCTTCCCGTCTCTGGTTTCAGGAGCTGCTGGCGAAAGGAAGTGGAGGGGCCGTGGGATGCGGAGAGCCGAGGGCTGACTCCCGGACAGCGGAACAGAGAGAGCTGCCGACGGACAGACGGTATGTCCTTGCTGAGGCCTGTGCCCCCTGCTTGGCCCTCTTCTGAGGAGACTGGCAGGCAAGGGGGCAAGCAAGTGTCCTCTCTTGGTAGGGGCTGGTGAAAAGGGAGTGGTGGAGGCCTTAGGGGCTTGGCTTTCAGTGGCCACAGCCAGAGTGCTCTTGAACCTAGAGATCCCACTGAGAAGCAGGGTTGGGTGAACAACCTCAAACCCTTATTGTTTGTTACGACTTTTCTTAAAGCTGACCTTTGTTGACCATTTCCTAAGTGCTATACATCATCTTCCCAACAACTCCATGAAATGGGTGTCTTGTTAGCCCGATTTAGAGTTGACAAAATGGATATGTAGAGAGCAGTTTTTCCCTCGGAGGCCCTCTAAGCCCAGGGAGGAGCATGGTGGGCTGCTTTTTAGAATCTCTGCCCTACTCCTAGAGCATAGTCCAGTCTTCCAGGCCCTGGGCCCTGCCTTTCCCGCCCATCGGTCCCGTGCCCTGCAGCATTCCCCTGACCCATGGAGCCTGACACACCAAAGTCCAGCCCTTCTGGCGGCTCCAGCAGTGGCTCAGGCCTACCTGCCTGTGTAGTGGCTTCTACGTGTGTCCCCTTTTACCATCTCTTTTTTCCCTCAGGCCAAAGGCCCCTAGGCCACATCTCTGAGCCTCCTCCTTTCTCGCTTCCCCTCAGCAGGTGGAGGAGCTTTCACCTCCCAGAATGACCAGTGCAGCCCCTGCTAAGAAACCCTACCGGAAGGCACCGCCAGAGCATCGGGAGCTGCGGCTGGAAATTCCTGGAGGCCAGCTCGAGCAGGAGGTCAGCACGATTGGTAGCTCAGCCCTGACTGGCAGAGGCAGGCCCCTGAGACTGGGTGTCTGGCTGCCTTCTCCTGTTTGAGGTTCTGCCCCAAAGTTGGGGTGAGAGTAGGTGCGGCTGGTTCAGGCTTGGGGTCTCCCAGCCGCAGTGCTAGTGGGGGCTATCTGTGAGTATATGTCCACAGGTCAGGGATCTCCAGAGTCTTTGTAGCTTAACAGAAACAATCCCATACACTATTGTTCTCCCTGCAGGAGGCAGTCCACCAGGGTGAGGGGTCCTAACCTTCTGAAGGCTGGGACTCTGGTCTCCATCGTGGAGGAGAGTCATGCAACCTTGACCCCTCTGGGAACTACTCGGGGGCAGTGTTCCAGCCACTTCCGACCAGTCCAGCTGCTCTTCATTGTCCGCAGGAAGGCTGGCCCTTCCTCCAGTTTTGCTTTGTTGGGCTAACATTTGTTATATCTGCACTCCCTGCCAGGAACTGTTAGGTCCAGGCTCTGCTCTTAGGAGGTGTACAGTCAACTGCAAACACGCCTCACGTGGCCTCTCCTCCCTCGTGAAGCTTACTGCTCGCAGGAGAAAAAGCATTCTACATTGGTTACTTCCCTTGCTGCGTGTCCCCACCCTGTTGCACACTGAAAGAACTTGAGAGACGGTCATTAGATGCTGAGCATCACACAGACTGTAGCCCACTTTGGTCCAATATGGGGGAGAAATGCCATGACTTGCCCATTTCAGTTCAGGGCACGTTAAATAGAAATGCTGGCTCTTATGCTAGGTGCTTACCCAGTGGGCATTCCCTCGGTGTTATAGATGAGAGAGTGAAGATATGGGGAGGTGAAGGTCATATAACCAGTATGTGGTCAAACAGGATCATATCAGGGTGTCAGTGGCTCCAGAGTCCATGATCAGGGTTCACCCACCCTGTCTTCCTGCCATGACTGCAGCTCTGAAGCAGTCAGCTCCATGTGGAGTGGGCCCTTGACTTTTCTCACTGCCATAACACAGGCTTCCTTTGTGTGGTGGGCTGAACTCTGACCCTTGGGCCATGAACAGCATAGGGGTTTAGGAAGATGGGGCTGGGGGTTAAAAGCCAAAAAAGACACTTTACTACCCTCAGTCAGGATTAGCCCAGAGGCTCTTCTTCACCCATGCATTTGTTCCTCCTGAGCTTCTGTAAGGTCTTCATTCTGCTTTTGTTTTTGCCCCAGGGGGCCGAGAAGGCTTTGTCAGAGCCCAGGGGTCTTCTGTAATTCAGCCTGACTTCACTTCTCTGGAAGATCTCTTCCTTGCCTGTGTAGAGAGATGGTCTACCAGGAACCTAGCAAACAGCTGAGAAACTCTTTATCCCTTGGGTACCCTTGGCTTTAGGATTAGAGTGAAGTTTGGAAGGGGTTCTTGAATCTTCTGCTGGCATGGAAGAGGGTGATCTAGGTTTATCCTGGCATTACTAGATTGCTTCCATTTCTAGAGGGCCCTATGAGTGTCTTTGGGCCACAGACTTGAGTCTTTCTCTGGCTGCTGGGAGGATGAGCCAGCCAGGTGGCTAGTGGTCCAGGGCTGAGCCTCAAGCTTCTGTTCTTCTTTGCCTAGGAGCCCCTGAGTGATGCGGAAAGGATGAAGTGAGTATCTGCTGCCTAAGATACTGCCCTGCCTCAGCTCTATCCCTTTTAGCTCCAGGTCAGGCTGTTGGTACAGCTGGATTTTCCTCAGATTAGGTAGAGGTAAAGGTTGGGGTGGGGTGTTGTAGGGACTCTGGGAGGAAACTTGATGTTGCAGGTAAAAGTTCTGGAAAGGGGGGCTTTGTTATTCCCTGGGCTTCAAGAGAGTCTGGAATCAGGAGGGTGATGGCTTTGAGGGGCTTGCTCTTGCCAATGAGCCCTTCCCCAGCTTCATGTGGCTCCAGAGAGAACAGGATGATCCTCCTGTGCCAGCTGCCTCCCCACTGCCCTTTGTCAGCCATGTGAGGCCTCTGGAGAGGAGGGCAGAGCTGGACTGGATTTCCAAGAGATTAATAATGGAGAAGCTTGAGCGTGCAGTGGGGAAACTGGAGCTGGGGGGCTTGGTGGCTGGCTTGCTTGGGCTGTAACCAGAGACAGGCTGGGAACTGTTCCTTGCCCCCGATTCTGTCTTGTCATTCTCCAATGGTGGGGGGGAGATTGGACTGTCCTCTACCGTCCCCTGCCTCCCCCCACCCTCCAACCCAGGCTGTGATCTCAGGACTAGAGGCCTGTGGAATATGCGGTCTTAGACTCGGACTGAGTCTAGCAGTCTCCCTGCCCCTAGCCTGTCCTCATGTCATCCCTCCTTCCTTCTGAGCCCAGCTTGGAGCTCCAGAGCTGGCCCTTCTGTGTCTGATGTTCGTCTGCCCTTGACCCCCAACCCTGCCAGGCTCTTGCAGCAGGAGAATGAAGAGCTTCGCCGGCGCCTGGCCTCGGCCACCAGACGTACCGAAGCCCTGGAGCGTGAGCTGGAAATCGGGCAGGACTGCCTGGAACTGGAGCTGGGCCAGAGCCGCGAGGAGCTGGACAAGTTTAAGGACAAGTTCCGCAGGTGTGGGGATGAGGGGCCAGACACACATGCGTGCCTCTCCCCATTCACAGGAGGTTAGCTGGAAGAGGCCTTAGAGGTCGTCTGATTCTGATTAGAAAAATGAAGTTATCGGGAGGGTGACTTGCAGGGGATCCTGTATCGAGGAGGGGCTGGACGGGGCTGAGAAGCAGGACCTTGACCCAGGGGTCTGCCTTGTGTCCTGCAGGCTGCAGAACAGCTACACAGCTTCCCAGCGGACCAACCAGGAGCTGGAGGACAAGCTGCACACACTGGTAATCTGGCCAGGAGGGCAGTTTGGCCGGCACTGTGTTCACAGGACAGCCAGGGGCTGGGACTTGCCAGGGGAATGCTGTTCTGCCCTGGGGCTTGGGGAGGAGATGGCTGGTTGGGGCAGTGGTGGGGCCGCAGTGTGCTGTGCCAGTCAGGACTGTCTTAATGCTCACACTGTTTCTCTTCTCTCCTCGTCTCCCCCTCATGCTGCCACCGCTGCTGCTGCACTCTCCTCTCAGGCCTCTCTCAGCCACAGCTGGATTTTTGCAGTTGCGTCTGAGTTTGTGTGTTTTCTCCCTTGCCCTGGCCTCCTCAGCTGAGATCCGGGACGGTGGGCCCTGGCTATTTCCCTGTGCCCGCCGAGGACACCCGAGTACCCCTGCTCCTTTCCTCCTCCCTTTGTGAGGTCCAAGTAGTGGTCAGTGCCTCCCTCCCAGGAGAGAGCTGGGGAGCCCCGCCTGCTCTTGGCTCTGGCCGAGGTACTGATGGATGTCACCATTGAACATACACTGCTTCTCGGCTGTGGTGGCAGCAAGTGGAGTATGTGCAGGGAGGGGAGGCTGCAGATGCCATCTCTGAGCTAAGATCAGAAGGCTGCTTTAGAGCCTGCAGCTCCCTCCCTGCTCAACTAGATAACCTCACACGTGCCCCGGCTGCCACCTAGCCCTGCCACCTCCTCCCTCTTCTATCCTGGTCCCTGAAACAACTGCGCCTATGGGCTTCAGCCCCTTGGTTTGCATTTATTCCCTCTGAGGTACCAGCTGCCTTGCCTAGGGCCTCAAGCCCCTGACCCCCTCAAGGGATGGGCAGCTCTTACGTTACCTCTGCCCTGGGCCCAGGTGACAGTAGGTCATGGTCGGAAAGCCCCATCCCACAGCCAGCCTGGAGAGCAGGAGAGATGCCCGGTCTCCTTCTGTCTGTCCGCCATTTGTCTTGCTCTGTCCGCCTTGGCTGCCCCAGCACCTGTGGCCTCCTGTGTCTCTGGGCTGGGAGGAGGGGGAGGAGGAGGGGGGCTGACTGAGGTGTGGGCTGGGTTTACCACAAGTCTGTGTCTCAGATCAAGAAGGCTGAGATGGACAGGAAGACGCTGGACTGGGAGATTGTGGAGCTGACCAACAAGCTGCTGGATGCCAAGAACACCATCAACAAGCTGGAGGAGCTCAATGTACGTGCCCCTCACCTGCCCCGCCCTCCTGGCCTGGGGCGGGCTCAGTCCTGGCCCGGCCCTGCTCCCTTGGGCAGGCAGGGCTGGCTCTGACCCAGCCTGTCTGTAGGAGCGGTACCGGCTGGACTGCAACCTGGCTGTGCAGCTCCTCAAGTGCAACAAGTCCCACTTCCGCAACCACAAGTTCGCTGACGTGAGTAGAGCCCCCACCACACACCTCACCAGACGCCTGCCGCTTGGGGCCTCCTGACTCCAGTTCTGCGCCTCTCCGTCCCGCCTTCAACTCCCCTTTCCATTCCACCCTTCTCTTGCTTCCGTGTCACCTCTCAAGGCAGTCTGCCACTGGTTGGTGTCCTGTGTGCTGTCAGGGGCCATCACTAGTGCTGGGGGCTGGTCCTGTAGGTATTTCTGTGACAGGGACAGGGAGCAAGGGATTCATTTTAGGATCCCATGCAGGAGGGAGGGGGTGGCCAGAGCTGTCGGCCATGAGTACTGAGAGAGCGGTAGGCCCATTTGGTCCCTTTACCCCAAGGGGCAAACTCCAGGCACCAGAGCCTCGAGCCCAAGGCTGATGTGAGCTGCAGAAGCAGAGGTATTCCTGAGGCTTCTAGGCTATCCACATCCTCCGGGCTTTAGGGATAGTCTTGGGCAGAAGCCACTGCTGAGGTATGGGAGATACAAGCTAGAGACACAGGTCAAGGTTTCAGTCCAGGTGAAGTTCTTCAAGAGCTTCAAGTGATCTGCCCTCACCGAGCCTGTGTATCTGGTGAGGTTATACCCTGACTTGTGTGAGAAAAGGAGATGAGTAGCGCTGGGCACACGGTGGCATGTGTTCATGCAGTCGTTATTTGTGCCATGAGTCAGGCTGTTTTCAGCTGCAGTCATTGATGTCTCTCTTTCCTGCTTTACCTCAGCTGCCTTGTGAGCTTCAGGACATGGTTCGGAAGCATCTACACAGTGGTCATGAGGCTGCCAGCCCAGGCCCTGCTCCCGGCCTGGCCCCAGGCGCTGTGGTGCCTACCTCGGTCATTGCCCGGGTGTTGGAGAAGCCAGAGTCTCTGCTCCTCAATTCAGCCCAATCGGGCAGTGCTGGGCGCCCCTTGGCTGAGGATGTCTTTGTGCATGTGGACATGAGTGAGGGTGCCCCGGGTGACCCCGCCAGTCCCCCGGCCCCTGGCAGCCCCACCTCCCAACCTAATGGGGAGTGCCATTCTCTGGGTCCTGTGGGGGGCTCCCCAGAGGAGGAGCTGCCCCTGCCAGCCTTCGAGAAGCTGAGCCCTTACCCCACCCCGTCTCCACCACACCCACTGTATCCTGGCCGCAGGGTAATAGAGTTCTCTGAGGATAAGGTTCGGATCCCCCGCAACAGCCCTCTGCCCAACTGCACTTACGCCACCCGCCAGGCCATCTCGCTCAGCCTGGTGGAGGAGGGGAGCGAGCGGGCCCGTCCCAGCCCAGTGCCCAGCAGCCCGGCCTCCGCCCAGGCCTCACCCCACCGCCAGCCCGGCCCCGCGCCCCCGACACTCAGTGCCCCAGCCAGCTCTGCCAGCTCTGAAGAGGACCTGCTGGCCAGCTGGCAGCGGGCATTTGTGGACCGTACTCCGCCCCCTGCTGCTGTGGCCCAGCGCACAGCCTTTGGACGCGACGCACTCCCAGAGCTGCAGCGCCATTTTGCCCAGAACCTTGCTGACAGAGACGAGTTGGTTCAGGCATCTTCTTTCCCACCCGATGAGAGTGGGCTTTTGCTACCAACTGAACCTGACTCTGGCTTTCCCAGGGAGGAGGAGGAGGAAGAGCTCAACCTGCCCGTCAGTCCTGAGGAAGAGCGCCAGAGCCTGCTGCCCAGTAACAGCTGCACAGAGCAGGGGCCTGGTGCTTCCCACACTGAGGGCAGGGCCTGGCCACTCCCCAGCTCCAGCCGCCCCCAGCGCAGCCCCAAGAGGATGGGGGTGCACCACCTGCACCGCAAGGACAGCCTAACCCAGGCCCAAGAGCAGGGCAACCTGCTCAACTAGGGCCCTGCTTGCCTTCCTGCCACTGCTGTGCTGGGACCGCAAGGAACCACACCCTTGCTGCTCAGGTCCCCAGCCCAAGCCCTGACCACGTCCCTCCAGGTGCCACAGCTCTGTCCTCTGGGTGGGTGGGGTTAGGTGTGATCCTCGCCAGGCCTCTCAGCCGCATCAACTGGCGCCAGTTTGCCTCCTGGTTTCCCCCTTTTCTTGGAACATGTCTTTTCCTGGGGGAAACACGTGGTTGGGTCTCAAGCCCTGTCCTTCAGTCGGCCCAGCCCAGATTGGGCTGTTCTGGGGAGCTGAGGGCTAATCAGTGCTCCCCTTCCATCCTCCTTTCTCACAAGTTTTGTTTCTTGGGGGGAGGTGTCCTTGGAGTTACTGATTTCTGCTTCCTGCCTGTTCCCTCTCCCCCCATCGTCTGCATGAGCTGCTGCCCTGACGGAGCCTGGCACAGCTGGCCCTTGGGGATGAGGACGAGGACTGACTCAGGGCTTCCCTCGGCCGCTTCCTTCCTCCCTCTGGAAGGGAGGGTGGGGTTCAGGGCCCCAAGCTGAGCTGTGGGTGAGGCCTGGCCCCCCTCCCAACCTTGGCTCTAGACTGTTACTCCCAGCTTTGGGAAACTTTCACATTGATGACTATTTTAAGACTAAATAAAACTATTTTACTGGTACGGCCTAATTGTCCTCATGACCTTCCCTCTCCCTCTTGCCATTCTTGAGTGCTCCCAATCCTAGTCTTATCCCAGTCTATTAGTGACTTGCCCTGCCCGGCTCTGCCTGGGGCTTCCAAGGGCACAGAGTGACCTTAGCAGGGCCCCTGAGTCTCCCCTCAGAGGTGGGATCCAGTATTGTCCAGCTCTGGAGGCGGGCTCTCTAGTTATGATCTTTATAGGGCTCGTCTAAGGTGTCACCCTTGAACTGCAGACCCTAGACCTGGGCCAGGACTGCTTTGAGAGAGATTTTGGACCAGGTCAAGCAGCCTGGAGCTTGGGCTGTGGGATGATACTGCCCCCCAGTGGTGCTTAGTGGTAGTTCCAGTTCCTCCCCTAAGGCCAGCCCCCAGTGAATACAGCCACACGCCAGTTAGTAGAGTTCATAAAATCTCTTCCGAGCCAGCGGGTTGCAGCCAGAGCTGCCAACAAGTTCAGAGGCATTGCCTGGGTTCAAATGTCCCCCAGGGCTATTGTTCAGTCACAGCTTCCAGAGCTTCCTTCCCACCACATTGCCAGGAACTGCCAGAGCCCCGGGCAACCCGTGCTTCCCAGTCCCTCCCAAGCCCCAGGTGAGGGCAAAGTGCTGTAGACAGAGACAAATGTAATGATGCGCAGAAGCCCAGTGGAGAGGAGCGTCACATCTCGGTCTCAGCCAGCAGACTGTCCCCTAGGCCTGACGTCATTAGCACCATCTGAGAGCTGGGATCTGCGGAAAGGCACAGGGGTGTTCAGACCACCAGCTGTCCCCCCACTGGAGACCACAGATAGGTGAGAGGCAACCTCTGTACCCATGCTCCCTCGTCCTGAGTCAGGTTTCCAGGTTCTTACCGCTGGGACACATCCAGGAGCTGCTGCCCCTCTGGTGGGCAGCAGGCTCCCGCCCTTTCTCCCATTCCTGGGTGTCGCCAGCCCCTCCTGCCACCTCCTCCTCCTCCTCTCCCTCT